AAAGTGCACAATATCCAGTAGCAGGGATGACGCTGCACAAATTAACATAAGCTTGACAGCATCATCATCCCATCAGTAAGATTTCTGGTAAAACTGAATCAATTAAACTCGGGCTCATATACAGAGGCAAACCCTTAATTACGATGAGCAGCTAGCAACCTTTTACGTAAGTCTTGTGTGGGTGCGCAGGGTGTGGTGCGGGTATACTGTGGTGAGCACATGCTGTTTCAGCAGGAGTAAAAATGAAAATTCATTTATTTCAGTTCTTAGTTTATACTATATGAATGCATGTATGTAATATATACAGTGCATTAAAAAAAATAGAAAAATGACCACAAAATAGCATTCATCACATTATAGTGATATTTGACAAATCAACAATTCTTCTAAGTATATTTTATATAACTTTTTATATATTTTCAACTCATCATTAAACATTTTTCTTGGTTAAAAAATAGTGTCGCAAAAATATAGAATAAATGTCCCCCTTTTTGGAAATGTCCCCCTTATCATAGCCGAACTTAGAAAACCAGTGGATTGTTGTGACTCAGTGATGCTAAATTGCTAATGGTAGTTTTATGACAAGTATTCGATCAATTATTGAGAAAAAACCATTAACTTATGATATATTTGTGTTATGCATAATGTACACAACGAGTCGCCTTGAGGATACAACTGTGATCACCACCACACAAACACAGCCTCGCAATTTTCTGTAAACATTCACGAGAGCTCCACCGAAGGTCATACATAAATACTGCAGGGATCATAGAGCAGCCTGAAGGAGCGTCAGTAGAACAGTATACAGCAGGACCCTAGATGGCAGAAGAACCCAAGTTTAAATACAGAAGAAAACAATTTGCTGGGGATGTAGTTTCTGGGTAAGGACTTTGTTTCTTTTAAGTAACGAAATGTTTATAGGTTATTTGAGGTTAAGGTAGCAAAGGTTCGTTCCGTTTGACTGGGTTAGGTAAGGGAGGCCGGTAGTTGTGTCTGACCTCTAACACTACATCCCGCCAAGACTCGACCAGCCGTATTACATTAACATGCTACCAGTATATTCTCCCTGTTACAAGACGTTCATTCATGTGAGAGCATTACAACACGCGTAATAGTAATATCAATATGCAGATGGTCGCCTAGACACTCCTGGTCGAGCCCTGCCTGCCGTGTAGTGACAGTATAAGACAGTTTAACCCATTCACTACGAGGGTGACACTTTTAATATTTTATTTGGCTAACGCCAGACGACTTTAATCAGCTCGGAGGCGGCCCCGTATACAAGGGGTTAAAGTCTACTACAATGATTGAATTCCTCAGAAAATGTTCACTGAAACTTTGACCTAACAAACTTATGGGATTTTGTCAAATTGGAAATTATTAGGAGGGATTTTCTCTGGCGGAACTTGTTCCGAGGGGAATTGTTTAGATGGAATTTCTACATTATAAAACCTGTAGAGGGATTTTGTGTATTTACATTGGTAGTAGACGAGTGTTGTTTTATGAGAAAGTAACGTACAAACACACACGTCTTTCTCGATTATGAAACTGACCATTTTGAGAATATTCAAAATGGTCGAAGTTTAGATTTATCATCTTCTAATTACCGGGTTTTGTACAACACCAATTAGTGAGAGTGAAGTTAACAAACATAAAAATCAAGCGTCGATACGTTAGGCCGCAGACGATTCACGCCGTAACCTCCCCATGAAGGCAAGATCTCGTGGAACACACAGGTAAAGCGTGGCGGAGGACGAGTGTGGCTGGTACACTGTATGGAGGAAAGAGGATGTGGTAAAGAGACCTGTGAGTTGGTCTGGCCAGCTGCGAGAACAATGAACAAAACACTAACAAGAAACAACGAAAAACGAATTCTGTCAGAAAAAAAATAATGAACTTTGAAAGAGACACAGCGATGATAATAATACATTTGTTAGTTGTTCTTTTTTAACATTTACTTCGGTCTGGGGCGCTGGAGTGGAAGGTCCAGGAAGGTGGTGCCGATCCCTTGTTCCGGGGCCTCCACGCCTCGTTGACCGACAATGATTTCTTTTTTTACACCAAATGACGAGTATTCTCCGAGAGGACTGCACGACCACCGAGTCACTCAGCCACTTAAGAAAACGAGGATGTACTCGGACACAAGCCAACCACCACGATCACACGTCGGTCACTATCCTATCATAGAATTTTCCCATGGACAAAATTCTACCCGCAAAATAATGGCGGAGAACTGATTTACACATATAATTAATATTTTTTTTTACATATCCCTGTAGGCGTGTTTACTCGTGAGCAAAGATCCCAAACTGCTGAACATAAGAACATAATAATGGAGGAAACTGCAGCTAGCCCTTTGGCCCATACTGGGCAGTCCCGTTTACATCCAACCCCTATTGCTCATGGTATCGAGGGGAAAGTTTTAAATTGGATAAAATCATGGCTCACCGATAGAAAACAAAGGGTCAGCGTAGATGGTATTAAATCTAATTGGGGCTGTGTAACCAGTGGGGTTCCCCAGGGGTCAGTACTGGGCCCATTCTTGTTCATAATCTACATAAACGATCTAGATACTGGGATCAGCAGTGGCATAAGCAAGTTTGCGGATGACACCAAAATAGGGCAACAGATTAATTCAGGGCAGGATGCAAATGCCCTACAGAAGGACTTAAATAAACTGCAGGAGTGGTTAGGAAAATGGCAAATGAAATTCAAAACCAGTAAGTGCAGCGTACTGAATATTGGAAGAACAAATACTGTGAACGTATACAGCCTTAACAACATCGAACTAGAGAAGTCGACTTGTGAAAGAGACCTAGGGGTACTTGTAAGCCCGGGCCTACGGCCTAGAAAACAGTGCGTTAATGTTCGAAATAGGCAAAAAGGGTATTAAGTTTTATATCTAAAAGTGTAAGCAATAAGAATGCGGGGGTCATATTGCAATTATACCTTGCGCTAGTCAGGCCGCACCTCGATTATGCCGTTCAGTTCTGGTGCCCTTTTTATAGAATGGATATCAATTCACTGGTGTCGGTGCAGCGAAGAATGACGAAAATGATTCCGGGACTTAGACACCTTCCATATCAAGATAGGTTAAAGAAACTAAACTTGCATTCCCTAGAAAGACGAAGAGCGCGGGGAGATTTGAAAGAAGTATTTAAGTGGGTGAAAGGAATCAATAAAGGGGATATAGATAAAGTTCTTATAATATCCGAGCAGGATAGGACTGGTAGCAACGGATTTAAATTGGATAAGTTTAGGTTTACATAAGAACATAAGAATGGAGGAAACTGCAGCGGGCCTATTGGCCCATACTGGGCAGTCCCATTTACACCCAGCCCCTATTGCTCATATATCCATCCAACCTAAGTTGAAACTATCCAGGGAGATAGGAAGGAACTGGTTCACAAATAGGGTGGTGGACGATTGGAACAAGCTTAGCAACTTTGTAATAAGTGCTGGGACGCTGGAAAGTTTTAAAAGGAGGCTAGATAGATTCATGGACGATAGAGAGTGGTTGTAACTCCCAACAGGAGCTGCCATGCACAGGCCAACAGGTCTATTGCAGACTCCTTATTTTCTTATGTTCTTATATCCGTCCAACCTATGTTTAAAGCTATCCAGCGTATTCGAGTTAATGATGATGTTTGGTAACTTGTTCCACTCAACCACTACTCTATTTCCAAACCAATGTGGTGGAAAACTGAAGACGAATCTGAACTAGATCTATCGCATCACACTTGTGTTTTGGTGTTCATGTTGGCAATAATCACGTCATTGGGTCATTTAATCAACCAAACTTAGGATAGTTAAGTTTAACTAGCCTATTTGTTGCTGCAACAAGCGTCTGTCAACAACAACAAAGCGTAAATACCGCCCTTCATAATAGAGATTTATCGTGATAATATTAAACTTGATTATTGTTCTGTTCTCTCAATAACTTTGACTGCAGTGTATTCAAATAAACAGATGATTGAACGTAGTGTACTCTTAAATGGTTAATGTGACAGACGACACTTAGTATGAGGTGTGGTGGTCACGGATATGTTTGTTGTGATTTTTAGAATGCAAATCCGGCGGTAAAAACCCGGATGTAATCTGATGCGAAAGAGTAGATATTATTCTAACGAATAAGCGCCACTGTCACTTCAATAATGATTCCTCCTAGAGCCTGAGGGGACAGATAAAACAAACTAACTATCCCTAACTTAAGTTATCTTTGAGATTATTTTGGGGGAAGTTAACTTTGATTTACTGTATATTATCTGCCGTAATTAATGGTTTAACGTCACAGTTTTTATGGATATCGCTGTTGACAAGAACGTGACGCATAGTAGACACACTGTTATTTTCACAAGTTTCTTCTCGTCTTTTATAAAATATTTACCAAGTCTTAGTAGCCTGTTAAGGTTGGGTCTAGATGTATTTTATTTAACAGCCCGAGGAGTCAATTGAGGGCGGGGAGTTGTGTGGGCGGTCAAGCACCAATAACACACCCGTAATTTTAAACAGCAACAATCATACTAGACAAGTTTATGGTATAATGCATCTTGCTTCACTACAGCGTGACTTCAGTTTTTACTTTTAAAACGAAGGCAACAATGAAGAAAGCCTGAGTGGTCTAAAAGTTGTTTATAAACTCTTGAGATCCTCCGTCGTCAGTGAGTGAACTAGTTAGGTTTACAACACTTGTCATTCTCCTCTGAATTCTTTCCAAAGATTCTATATCCATTCTGTAATACGGTGATCTGAATTGAACCGAGTAATCAAAGTGGTCTCACAAGCTCAAAACATAGTTTTAGGATGACCTCGCTAGTAATGTAACTAACACTCCAACTTATCATTACTCCTAAATCTTTCTCGCAGTCGGATTTCTCAATAACATCGTTGTTCATCTGGTTTCCCTGTTTACATCTCCTATACTGAGTACTTCACGTAAGGTCATGCACCCACTGCCTGTTATTAAGGAAAATAAACTTAATTATTATCACAATACTCACTTCAAGGCCCTGGACGACTTCCTGGCAGACTGAGGCTGGGAGACTCTCCTCGAGCGCCACCACCACACCCTCGTAGCCGTTGTCTTGGAGGACCACTGTAGAGGAGGAGGCGAGGCCCAGCAGCACCACACACCACGCTACACTCCACCTACAACTTGTGTTCGCCATTGTGAGTGTATTTGTCATAAGTCACTGTACATATATCTAGACTGTCATTTCTCAGACACTTAAACACGTAATCGATAATTGTTGATTGTTTCAGCTCATGTGAGTAAATTCTGGAGGATCTTAAAATAGTCCTTCAATGTATAGCGGGCTGGCCCCGTTAACCAGTGGTGGTCGACGGTGCGGTTCACTCTACACACTTCCTACAGTCACTAACCGCACAACCACCGCTAACTAGGCGGACACACACTAGCTGCTTCGTCTTACTATAATCTACTCTAAGAAAGTTTGTTGATCCTTCGTTTTGTCTAAGTATAAGACGGGGATTGTCGAGCGGTTCTCTCAATCCTTCACTGCCGATGTTTCTTAAATCAGAAATACTGAGCGAGTCTTGTCCTTCTCTCAGTGTACTTCACACACACACACACACAGTTCACCCAGTCACTCGGGCAGCCGACACGGGTGAGACACCCACTCGCTCTGCAGGCACCAGCCAAACTGAGATCTTGAGAGAAGAAGTTAGAGAACCCGTAAGGGGGATGCCGGGGGTTGGTCACTCGTCTGGAACACCCAACCACCGCGTAGAAAACGGAGGCTGGTTGAGGCTGAGTGCAGTCCCCCGGAGCCAGACGTACGACCATTTACAGGTATATATTACTGAGTAAATAACTACCAGTTGTTGAAGGTAAGTTTAAAAGTTCATCAACTATTGGAAGTAGTTATTTTATTAATAGTGAAAACAACAACAAGTTGATACTTAATACAACATACAGTTACCCTTAGGTACAACATATATTGTGACTTACAACTTAATATGGGAACAACAGAACTCCTTCGTGTAGAACTCAATATAATCTTATTGTATCACTATACATATATTCGTTCAATAAAACTTGCGTCGTCAAAAGTTCGTGTAGGGTTGGAGAAGTTCGACTTAGCGAGGTTAACTAGCGACGTAAACACGTTACCCCCACCAAAACCCCCCCACAACAACCCCGTCACTTCTCCGTCACCCACACCCATCACCCCTACCCTCACCCTCTCTCGGTCACCCCCTCCCCCATCATAACCTCGTCCCTATCACCCCCTTCCCGTAACCTCCCCTCACTCACCCCCACCATTATCCCGTCCCTGTCACTCTACCATTACCCCCTCCTCGTCACCCCACCCTTATTCTTTTCCCCATCACCCCACCATTACCCCGTCCCAATCATCCCACACCATTACCCTCTTCCCATCACACCACACCATCTCCCTTTCCCCTCCTCCTCCTCCCCCATCAACACTTCCCTTGGGCGATGAAAGAGAGAGGGGGGGGGGGAGGAAGGGATGTTGTATTACCTGCTATAAGGGCATATGTCAGTTGGCTTTAAGATATATGAAGGGAGTTACTTACGGCCCTGATTAAGTGGAGGGTATAATAATGACGGTCGTAAGGGCGTTTATACACCTCACTTTAACAGCGTTACTTTGAGCCTTGGGTTATAATTACATAGACGTTATACAGCGGGGTAGAACTTGGGGAGGTTTGTGACGATTTGGGGTCTAGTATGGTCTTTGGAAGGGTAGGGGAGGGGGGGATTTAAAACACTGGGGGGCAGAGTTGAGATGTGGGTGATTTAGAGGAGAGGACCTATGGCCGCTCTGCTCTGGTCTACTTACTTCTAGTGTTACCTGGTTCACGTCTCCAAGTATACCTTCACCTAATCATTAACCACCCTGACGCTAACCTAATCATTAACCACCTAAATGCTAACTTGACCTAACTTAAAAATTAACCATGCTAACACTAACCTGACCTACCACCATCCTTCAAATGTCTCTCGTACTGGCTGTCTCATCCCCCAGATCTCTCAACGCCCTCAAACGTGATTACAGTCAACTGGTGTCTGAAGGCAGATATAAATATTTCTGTATACTGAGGAAGTGGTTGGGCTGAGGCTACTATGAACGTATGAATGGAGGAACCAGCCAAACTCTGCCTCTCAGGAGGGAATTGAGCTCTGACACGAGTGGTTCATCTTTATGAACAAAATAAGTTAAGATAGAGATTCCTCGGGTAATCGGAAATTAATTTAATTGTAATTATTTCATCAAGTTTTCCTTTAAGCTGGATCTATCTAGCACCCCTTGGGAACCTTAGTTATTTAATCATGAAACTTGCCCATATATCCAAACTCATTTTCTGGTCATTACTTGGACTCAGATCACAAACTAGGTGTGAGAAGTCAATGGTCCGCTAAGTCCCGCTGTATGCTAGGCTAATACAACCTTTGTTCCTCGGACTACAAGGGTGAGAACCAGAGAAGAGACCAATAGTGTTTCTGGTGTCAGTCTCCCCGGCAAGTTCAGGTATAGATATCCGAGGAATTACTGACGAAATGGTAAGTAATCCACAGTGACGTAATGACTCGTCCGGGCTAGACTTGTTCGCCTGCAACCTCGACTTAGTATAACGACAACGGTTAATTCTATTGGTTATTTCATGAATTAATTTATGTATAGTTAAATTTAGTTTTGTTTATGTTTTACTTACTAATATTCTAACATATAAACATTAACATAAAAATATTCCATGATGTAGAGAAGAAAAATTTAACGAAGGTGAGGGCGAAGTCCATAGATAGCAGAGTTAAGGCAGTGCTGGCGGGCTTCTCTTGACACATCCGTAATGACGACCACGGAAGACAAACGGACCTGTGAGACAATTAGTCCGAGTAGTGAACGCTATGTAATGTTTGTTTACCTGGTGTGAGGACGAGGCTCAGTCACACCCACCATGTAATCTTCTAATGTCCCTGACCTAGTGTACCCAAGACAGGTGTCCAGCCAGAACCTCGTCGGCCAAATTATTACCAGAAAAATTGAAAGGACTTAAAATTGGCTTAAATATTGACGAATTTAGGGGGAAATATTTTGGATCACCTGAAGAATCGTCACCCCAGGATCACAAGGCGACTTATAATCTATTTTACCTCTCTTACTTTTTTCCACTTTAGATAATTCTAAGCCGCGTACATCATGGCTAAGTGTAAAGTGCTGGTGTGAAGTCTTAAGTAAGTCACTGACCCAAAGTGAGACAAACTTAGAACATAAGCAAATAAGGAATCTGCAATAGGCCGGTTGGCCTGTGCATGGTAAGCAGATTCAAACGGACTCACGGACGGGCAGACACAAAGGAGGCGACATTCATTTCCAACTTGTCTCACAACAGTTCAAACCACTATTGTTAAGACACATTAATCACACAACAGATTTCTATAATACATTTCTATCTGCTTTTAACAGTTCATTCTTTTTACGCTGGTGAGTGAGTGAGCACTAGGACTCAAGTTGTGTATCTGTTATTCCTCAAATTCTCCAGAAGATTCGTCCCCCAACTTATTAATTTTCATCTGAAGAATTACCTCTTAAAGCTAACCTAACCCCCCGGCGGCTCTGATGCAGAATCACCACACAAAGGAATTAAACATCAACAAACTCATCGACAAATTTTCAAACAAGCACCACAGATGGATGCTGATGTAAAAATATTTAAGGGTTATTGTGTAATATTTTTATTTTAGTTGTTTATATGATCCCTCTGCACTCTTCTTAGATTCAACTTCATGATCTTTCTTTAACTGGAAGGTAAATTATAGACTCCTCTTTATTAGGTTAATATTTCCATTAACATCAATGAAGGACTGCATATATTTGGTATACTAATGCTTAAAAATAAGATAACAAATAATTCAATTCTTGTATAAACTTGTAAGTAAAGTGAGGTCATTGGGACGAAACTTCTTGACCAGGAGTCAGGTGTGAGGCCACGTTGTGTTTTGTTACCCCTTGAGGTCAATTGTAGCTTCTGTCAGTATCCTCAGTTATTTTCTCCTTTTTAATTATTTAATATTTTATCTACAGAATAGACATAATATCTACAGAGTAAATATAATATGAATGGGATGTAGACCAATTGGCAATAGGACAATAAATGAAAATAAAGGAGCGTAAAGTAGTGTAAACCCTAAATGTGTGTGTGTGTGTGTCCAGGTGTGGGAGGGGGGGAGGGTAATTATATCTTCACCCCTTTGGTAAATACATCAGTGACTAAATTATCCTTGATAACATATATTAATATGTTACAGTTAACTTAAAAATAAGCATAAAAAATATACCAGGTGACGACAAACAACCAGACTCAGATAATTTATTGTACCTTGAGAGACAGGTGGTCCAGGTGTAGGTCAGTAAGGTCAGGTCAGGTCACATTCAAGTGTTGCTCCTTATACCGCACCTCTCTCTGCACTGTATAGTTACCCCAAGTACAGAGAGAGTAACTTGCACACCTTGATTAAACACTTCACTTGTATGTAATTTACTGTAGTGTCCTTCACCGTGCGTGTTTACCTTCTTACTGGCACACCGCATTATTATACTAGAGAATAGTAGTACACCAGGGGTCGAAAGTTCACTCTGCCCCAAACTGAAGCAGTATTATCCCTTAATGAAATAAAACAACGCACCCGCACCAGACGGCAGCCAGGATGAGTTGGATGACAAGACTAATCCCAGGCATTAGGAACCTAGAGTATAGAGACAGATTAAAGCAACTGAATTTGCACTCCCTCGAGAGACGTAGAGTGAGGGGCGAGGTGTACTGTATATATGAAGGTCGGGGTTAAACAAAGTTGATATAACAAGGGTAGTCAAACTATTCAACCAGGAGCGAATCCGTAGCGATGGTTTTAAATTAGACAAATTTAGATTTAGGCGCGACAGAGGTAAACACAGGTTTGGAAATAGAGTAGTGGATGATTGGAACAAGTTACCAAACATCACCATTAACTCGAACACGCTGGGTAGCTCGAAATATAGGTTGGACGGATATGATAGAAGTATTTAAGTGGGTGAAAGGAATCAATTAAGGAGATATAGATAAAGTTCTTATAATATCCGAGCAGGATAAGACTCGTAGCAACGGATTTAAGTTGAATAAGTTTCGGTTTAGGAGAGAGATAAGAAGAAACTGGTTCACAAATAGGGTGGTGGACGAGTGGAACAAGCTTAGCAACTTTGTAGTAAGTGCGGGAACTCTGGAAAGTTTCAAAAGGAGGCTAGATAGATTCATGGACGATAGAGTGGTATTAACTCTCGACAGGAGCTGCCATGCACAGGCCAACCGGCCTATTGCAGACTCCTTATTTCATTATGTTCTTATGAGCGATAGGGGTTGGGTGTAAACGGGACGGCCCAGTATTGGCCAATAGGCAAGGTGCAGCTTCTCCCATTCTTAAATTCTTATTTATTCTCTTGACTTAGTTTCAAATAGACAGCTAACTTTATCTCCGCGAGTGTACTGTACAGGAGGTCGACGCGGTAGACTTAAAGCAATAATGATATTGCCTGAATTTGTGTATCTCAAAATGTGTCTGTGTCAGAAGGTCCCTCAAGACCCTTGAAGTGAGCCGCTAACTGGCAACTTTAGCCCTGAAGCGGGCCTATTGGCCCATACTGGGCAGTCCCGTTTACACCCAACCCCTATTGCTCATA